ACTTGGTGTCGTCTGCAAACTTACTGAGGGTGCACTCGATGCTCTCGTCCAGATCATTGATAAAGATATTGAACAGAACTGGCCCCAGTACTGAGCCCTGGGGAACACCACTGGTGACCGGCCGCCAACTGGATTTAACTCCATTCACCACAACTCTTTGGGCCCAGCCATCCAGCCAGTTTTTTACCCAGCGAAGAGTACGCCCGTCCAAGCCATGAGCAGCCAGTTTCTCCAGGAGGATGCTGTGGGAAACAGTGTCAAAGGCTTTACTAAAGTCTAGGTAGACCACATCCACAGCCTTTCCCTCATCCACTAAGCGGGTCACCTTGTTACAGAAGGAGATCAGGTTGGTCAAGCGGACCTGCCTTTCATGAAGCCATGCTGACTGGGCCTGATTACCTGGTTGTCCTGTATGTGCTGCATGATGGCACTCAAGATGATCTGCTCCATAACCTTCCCTGGCACCGAGGTCAGACTGACAGGCCTGTAGCTCCCCAGATCCTCCTTCTGGCCCTTCTCGTAGACCAGCATCACATTTGCTAACTTCCAGTCAACTGGGACCTCCCCGTTTAGCCAGGACTGCTGATAAAGGATTGGAAGTGGCTTGGTGAGCCCTTCCGCCAGCTCCCTCAGTACCCTTGGCTGGATGCCATCCGGCCCCATAGACTTGTGTGTGTCTAAGTGGTGTAGCAGGTCGCTAACCATTTCCCCTTGGATTATGGGGGCTTCATTCTGCTCCCTGTCCCAGTCTTCCAGCTCAGGGGGCTGTGTACCCAGAGAATCCATCTGTTTTCTGCCTTTCCAAAACAGTTTCCAAAGGATACCTTCTTGCTTCTAATAACCTCCCTTAACTTGTTGTTTAGGTGTGCTGCCTTCCTCTTCTATTTCTGAGAAGTTGGAGTAGCCCATTATTAGCAAGAGGATGAAAACCAGGTTTCTCTTGAATAGACCTAAAAGCCAGAATTTACCTTGCAGAAGAGTTACTTTGCACCTTCCTGTCAACAGAAATTTTCTTCTCCACAATGAAAGGATTCTTTCTCCTCTGATGTTCTTAGCCAATGCCAAGTCCTGCTCAACCAGCAGCTGAGGATCTCTCTCTGCAATGTTGAAAGAGATCTAAAACTGAAAACTAGCATGGTTTTTAAGAAGAATCTTATACATATATGTGCTTTATTGCCTTTGAAAATTGTTAGATAACTTTACTGTGTACATGTGTGTATGTGTCTACATGAAAGTTAAAAATAATTTCCATACTGTCCCTTACCCCATTTTAAAATATTGCCAGCCAAACATACAGAAAAGTATGTCATTAAAAATGCATAGTGTCACTCAACATTTTGTGATGGTATCTCATTGCCACCATATCTATAATACGCCAAAGGAAAAAGCTATTTTAGGGACCAAGTTACATAGTTTTACTTTTATGTGACAAGAAGAAAATTAAAAAAGATCTGTGTACTATCTCAGCTAGCTCCACAGTCCAACAATCAGAATAGTGAGGTTGTAAATATCCAGTCATTAACATACCTTAAACTGCATGCCCATTTACATACTCCTTACAACTAGCAGAAAGAAACATCAGTGGATAAAAACTAATCCATAAATTGGAATTTTAGACTTGGAGTTTTAAAAGCTGTTTAGAGCACATTAAAATGTAAACAGCTGAGAGTATTGATATCAGTTAGTGATATCAATTTTTTTCCAGTCCCAAATCAATATTTAAAAAAAAATAAATTTAAAGAGTTCTGTTACATTCCAGTCTCCTTTGAGGCCACTACAAAACTTAGATATGCAAAGCTTGTTGATTATAAAAGCTGATGTAAAATGTGAGGTTTATATTGCATTACTAGCAAGCACCTATTCTTGTTTTCTGGGAATACATGGCAATTTCTGCTCCTCTAAGTGGCTCCTCTGACCTAAGTACTGGGCTTAATGACCAAAGGAGTAAAAAAATTATCAAGTGAGGTCAAACTAGCGAGTTGATTGATCCAAGATTTTGCTATCTACATAAGACTTGTCATAGAAAACATCATGGAGAGTTACAGAATATCCAGCTCCCAGACAAATTTTGGGCAACACTTTTTTTGTTTAATATGACTGTGGATGTTTTCAATATCTATATAAATACCAAATTATTTTTCAAGTGCTATCAGCACTCAAAGAGTTAGTCAATTTTACACATTAATTATGTGTGATTATTTTAATATTATCTTAACATTCTTTTAAAAAAAACTTTTTTTTAA